TCTTCCCCCGAATAAAACGCACAGGCGCTATACCCATAGACTTGAAGTTGCTCCACATATTACAGCTATTTTTGGGGGAAGACAAAAGGCAGTTCCTCCGTGCGACTGTACATTCTCCTTTTTTTCCCGATAGGAAGCGCGACAGCCTTGAAATATCGTCATTGAGAGGTCCGGCCCCAGGTAATTCAGAAATATTTCACTACCATCATAGTACCATGCTGAACACAACGCGCACGAATCATGACTGCACGACCAGAACGCCCAGTCATTATAGCTGTATAAGGTGCAACTTTCAGTCTAGATGCAGCGACAGATCGGGTCAAGATGGTACTCATGAATGTATTCAAGGTATCTTTCAGGTCCGGTGCAGACATGATGCATGGGGTGCATTATGTTCATGATCAATGCACACATGGTTAACGGGGACCCTCAGTTTCAGCTCCTGACTAACAGCTCCAGAACTGAAATTAGGGTTTGGGGTTCAAATTTTATGTTTGTTTGTTTTTTTTTGCCTGTTTTTGTTTTGGTTCAAGGTTGTTGTGAATCCGTTGATTGATATCATAGTGCAGAATATGAATTGACTCTGTTTTTCGTTCCGATTCAGCAATAGCTCGTCATAATGTTCATCTGACCTGCAAGATGACTACATTCATGATGACCATCTTCACCCGAGCTACAGCTGTATATGGTGCAACTTTCAGTTTTGACACAGTAATAGCTCCGGTGAAGATGGTCATCATGAATGTAGTCATCTTTCAGGTCAGATGCAGTCATGCTGGGGTCCTTGTGTTCATAATCAGTATTCACTGACAAAGCCCCCGGATCAGTATGGCCGACTTCCGTCTCTTTTCTACTTGCAGGTCTCTCAGTCGGGCAGGCGTTGGCCTTCACCATTACCCTCTACAGCTGTTGTGCTTTTAGGTATAGCTCGAGCCAATTTCTGTGGACCCAATTTGACCCCTTCTCGTACCTCCATCACTCTTTAGGCAATTTGTGTTAACAGAGCCGCCACTTTTTTTTTTTTTTTTTTTTTTTTTTTGGCTGGCTGTCGGCTCTAGTACTTGACACCAGTGCGCCTTTCCCAGCTATTTTTTCAGAGTCGCCACGCACCTCGATTAATGGCCGCGACTCTCAGGAAGTTCCAGGGCGCCTTTTCCCTGGAGATATCCATCAGGCGAAACGAGTCGCATGTGAGGCCCTTTTTGCCTGTATGGATATCCAGCCAACCTGACAAATTGTGCCCCCGTACTTTTTTCCTGAAAGACCTCCAAAAGCCACCGTAATCGCGCCACCTGGCGGCCACCACCACTTGGCCAAATATCCTTTGCTATAAAAACTTGAAAAAAGACTCCTTCCAAAAGCCGAAAGTATTAAACTTGATAATTAAAGGGATTGCCATCAGAGTAGTGGCATGATGACATTTTTCGATGTCTCGCTTAAAAAGCACATTGGTTGGACCAAGCAAAGTTAGAAAATATGAAAACATAAACGAAAAGAATAAAAATAGCCAGTCAAAAATAGTAAGAAACAGAAAGACTTCCAAGCCAAAAAGCCATATGACTACCATCTCAACCTGCGGCGGGCGTTTTTTTTTCCAAAGATGCAGCCGTTAATGCGCCACGACTTTGTTTTTCAAGCGTGAAAAGGTCTTCGTAAAATCTTTATACTTGCTGGCAGGAAATTCATAAGTGTACTCTGATGTCGATTTCCAAAAACCTATCGAAAGTCCTATTTAGACATCCTATTCGTAAATGCTAATAATAGTTCATATAGGTTTTCTAAATTTCGCCGTAGATCGATTTTCTAAATTGTCATGATTCTATTTTCTAATTTGTCATGATTCGATTTTCTAATTTGTCAATGATTCGTGATGAATTCCACCTAATCTAATGAGCTTGGTTACTTTGATGATTTTGTTTTAAACTTTCAAACTTGAAGAGATTTTCCATGTTCCAATTACCGTTTCTTGACTCGGATAAGGCTTCTCTCATTGGAGACTGTTAGCAAATCTTCTTAGGTGTGCCTGTTGCTGTCATAATTGTGGATCTGCGGTTTTTCGATGCCAGAACGACGCTGGTCGGTACTGGGGTGTAGCCCTGTAACCTGCGAAGCAGGAGCATGAGGCCTGGTAGAGAGATTTGGGGATGCTTAGGGGCGGGCATCTCACGGAATAATCAAGGGTTGCTGCTTGGAGGATGTCGGTCGGATCTGGGGTGAGTTGTGTTG